TTATTTAAAACATTTTCCCTCCCTTTTTCCCCCCCCCCCCTCTCTTGTTGTTTCTATTCCCCTCCTTGTGGCTGCTGCTGCTGCTGAGCTAATTAGGGGGAGTGCCCCTTAATTTCCACCTGTGTGGGATTTGTATTGCAAATATAAACCCACTACTGACTCACAGAGCTTGCTCACTGGAGTTTGCTTGAAAGTAGGCTATTTCAAGTAGTCTCTTTTAAGTAGGAGTTAAAACAACAGGAGTTGAAACTACAAGGGAGTTTAAACCGAGAGGGTTAACATTTTTTTTTTTTTTTTCTCACTTGTGTTTTTTGTTACTGGGGATGAGTGCTAGCAAGATTGCAAATTTAACTCAGTGCACATCATGCCGCATGTATGCATGCCTGGATGGTTCTGTCCAGGGTCCATACCTCTGTGGTGGGTGTGAGCGAGTGGCATTTCTGGAAGCTCAGATTAGAGATCTGGAGAGGCAAATTGTAACACTGAGGGAGATTGACAATCTTGAGAGGAGTCTGCTGCTCACTGAGCAGAGTTTAGTGGGGACAGGTAGTGGAGAGGGAGGAGATAAGACAGATGGGGAACAGGCACGTAGCTGGGTGACAGTGGGGAGAGGAAGCAGGGGGGGAGGGAAGAGAAAAGGTTTAGCTAGTCCTGATCTCATGCAGCCTAACAGATTTGCCCGTTTGAGTGAAGATGTTGGGAGCATCAGCTCAGGAGTAGCTGTACTGCAGGAAGCTGTTCCTGCTAACAGCCGTGGAAACAGCCCCTCTAGTATGGGTGGGGTTGAGAGGGTAAGGAAGGCTAGACAGGTTGTGGTGGTAGGGGACTCTATTATTAAGAGAGTAGATAGGGTAATCTGCCACTCTGATCGACTCAACCGGACAGTTTGCTGTCTCCCGGGTGCTCGGGTCCGGCATGTTGCCGACAGAGTGGAGGGATTATTGGGAGGGGCTGGAGATGACCCAGCTGTCATGGTCCATATTGGTACCAATACAAAGTCAGAGGAAAATGGAAGGTCCTAAAGAATGAGTTCAGGGAACTAGGAAGTAAGCTTAAGAAAAGGACCTCCAAGGTAATTTTTTCAGAAATATTACCTGTGCCGCGCGCTACAGCAGAAAGGCAGCGGGAGATTAGAGAGGTCAATGCGTGGCTAAAGTCTTGGTGCAGGAAAGAGGGTTTTGGGTTTTTAGAGCACTGGGCCGATTTTGCGCTTGGGTACAACCTGTATAGTCATGATGGATTGCACCTAAACGGAAGAGGGTCTGCTGTGCTGGGGGATAGGATGGCTAGAAGGTTGGAGGAGATTTTAAACTAGTGGTAGGGGGGGAGGGTCAAAGCAATCTAGAAAATGGAGATATGATGAAAAGAGATGGGCTTTAGCTCAGAACAAAGGGGGTGGAGATGGGGGGAGGGGAAAACTCAGAACAGAGGAGGTATGTAATATTGATAATTCACAAAAAGTACAAAAGACTCATGATAATATTAAATGTATGCTTACTAATGCAAGGAGCCTATATAACAAAATGGGGGAACTAGAGGCAATAGCATACACTAAACAATATGATATAATAGGCATAACAGAAACATGGTGGGATGAGACACATGACTGGGCAGTTAATTTAAATGGGTACACGTTATTTAGGAAGGATAGGAAAAACAAGAAGGGTGGTGGGGTATGTTTATATGTCAACCGTGAGTTAAAGTCAAATCTTAGGCATGTGGAGTGTGACGAGGAAAAGGTGGAGGCTTTATGGGTAGATATCTGCTTGGGGAAAACAAAGGGAAATCAATTATTGGTTGGTATATGTTATAAACCACCTAATGTAAATATTAATGAGGAAGAACAGCTGTTAGAGCAAATTGAGAAAGCTGCAAATCGAGGTAACACGTTAATTATTGGAGATTTTAATTATCCAGACATAAATTGGGAAAGAGGGACTAGTACTTCAGCAAGGGGAATCAGGTTTTTGAATGTGTTAAATGACACCTTTATGTCACAACTGGTACAAGCACCAACTAGACAGGATGCTTGTCTGGATCTTGTCATAACAAACAATGTTGATCTTTTAACCAACATTCAAGTAGGGGAGCATTTGGGAAATAGTGATCACAATATGGTAAATTTTGAAATAAACTCAAAAAAGCAAAAGCAGGTGGGGTATACTAAAACATATAATTTTAAAAAAGCCAATTTCAATAAGATTAGGGCAGCTCTACAACATATCGACTGGCATAAACTCCTTAGTGATAAAAACACTGAGGATAAATGGAAACTATTCAAACATATATTAGAAAGGTACATTTCTCAGTATGTACCATTGGGTAATAAATATAAAAGAAACAAATTAAAACCAATGTGGCTTAGTAGAGAAGTAAAACAAGAGATTAAAAATAAGAAAAGGGCATTTAAAGCATTTAAATCAGACAAATCAAAGGCATCCTATTTAAGATATAAGGAAGCCAATAACACTTGCAAAAAGGCAATTAAAGTGGCTAAACTAGAAAATGAGAAATTGATAGCTAAAGAATGCAAAACCAACCCCAAAAATTTTTTCAAGTACATCAATTCTAAAAAAACAAAAAATGAAAGTGTAGGTACACTTGAAACAGAGTTGGGTTTATTAGCTAATGAAGACCAGGAAAAAGCAGAAATTTTAAATAACTATTTTTCTTCAGTATATATTAATGAGGATCCTATGGCAAGAGATATGCAAATGTTTGCTGCAAAAAACTTGCAAATAACTTGTGACTGGATAACTCGAGACAAGGTGCTACAGCTATTAAAGAAAATTAATGTAAATAAAGCTCCGGGGCCTGACTGTATTCACCCACGAGTACTTAAGGAGCTAAGTGGGGAAATAAGTGAACCTCTGTATTTAATTTTTCAAGATTCTTTTGTTTCAGGTGTTGTACCGGAGGATTGGAGGAAGGCAGATGTTGTTCCTATATTTAAAAAGGGTTCAAAATCCTTGCCTGGAAATTATAGACCTGTGAGCTTAACTTCAGTAACTGGGAAAATATTTGAAGGGCTATTAAGGGATAATATTCAGGAATTCATTGGGAAGAACTTTGTTATTAGCAATAATCAGCATGGTTTTATGAAACATAGGTCATGTCAAACTAACCTAATTGCATTCTACGAAGAAGTAAGTAGAAGTATAGATCAGGGTGTTGCAGTGGATGTGATCTACTTGGACTTTGCCAAGGCATTTGATACGGTTCCTCACAATAGGTTAGTTTTCAAACTAAAAGAAATTGGTCTAGATGAATATTCCTGTTCTTGGGTAGAACATTGGCTTAAGGACAGAGTACAACGAGTTGTCATTAATGGTAAATTTTCAGGCTGGACAAAAGTGGTAAGTGGTGTCCCTCAGGGTTCTGTTTTGGGACCACTTCTATTTAACATATTTATAAATGATCTTGAAATAGGCATTGAAAGCCATGTATCAGTGTTTGCAGATGACACAAAACTTTGTAAAGTAATAAAATGTGAGCAGGATATTGCTTTGTTGCAGAGAGATTTGGATAGATTGGGGGACTGGGCACTAAAATGGCAGATGAAATTTAACATAGAGAAATGCAAAGTTATGCACTTCGGGGTTAAGAATGCACAAGCAACTTACACACTAAATGGTAGTGAATTAGGGATAACCACACACGAGAAGGATTTGGGCATTGTTATAGACAACAAATTAGGCAGCAATATGCAATGTCAATCTGCAGTTGCTAAGGCCAGTAAGATTTTGTCATGTATAAATAGGGGCATAAATTCTCGGGATGAAAATATAATTTTGCCTCTGTATAAATCGCTGGTAAGACCACACCTTGAATATGCTGTGCAATTTTGGGCGCCTGTTCTAAAGAAGGATATCATGGCACTGGAGAGGGTCCAGAGACGAGCTACAAAATTGATAAAAGGAATGGAGCATTTTAGTTATGAAGAAAGGTTACAAAAATTAAATCTGTTTCGTTTGGAAAAACGGCGCCTGAGAGGGGATATGATAACTTTATACAAATATATTCGGGGCCAGTACAAACCTTTATCTGGAAATCTATTCATAAACAGGGTTATACATAGGACACGAGGTCACACATTTAGGCTGGAAGAAAGGAGATTTCATCTAAGGCAAAGAAAAGGTTTTTTTACAGTAAGAACAATAAGGATATGGAATTCTCTGCCTGAAGAGGTGGTTTTGTCAGAGTCCATACAGATGTTTAAACTGAAATTGGATAAATACTTACAAAAACATAACATACAGGGATATAATTTCTAATTAGTGGGGTAATAGCTGATTGATCCAGGGAGACATCTGACTGCTATTTTGGGGTCAAGAAGGAATTTTTTCCTAGTTTGTGGCAAAATTGGAAGTGCTTCAGACCAGGTCTTTTGCCTTCTTTTGGATCAACAGCAACAACATTTCTGAGGAAGGCTGAACTTGATGGACGCAAGTCTCTTTTCAGCTATGTAACTATGTAACTATGTAACAAAACATAGCATAAGGGTGAGATACAACATGGACATGGCATCTTAATATAGCCTAGACAGGGTGAGTGGTATGTTCCTGATATTTGTTTGTGCAGCGGTTCCGGTCATCTGCTAGGTCTAGCCCGGTCACCAGAATGTGAGACTTGTAATTGCAATACAGTTTCCCTTAGTCCTTGTACCTCCTACTGTACATCTGAGATGTCCTCCTATGAGGCCTGGACTCGAGCGGTCACCGCTTGGACTTCAGTTCTCATTAAGTCCATATCAGCCACTGACATTTGCTTTAATTCCAGCAGCAGGTTTTTTTATGTTCAGCTTACTGGCTGGGGTCAGAGCGTCTGGATCAGCAGGAACCATGGTGGCTGTCTTGTGGTTTGCAGGCTCCACATGATCTCTGGAGTACGAATCCGAGCTGCAGGAGCTAGTATCGTGCTCTGGCGGGGCCACCATTGTGTAAGCCACGGGGCACTGTAGCAGAACTCCTATATCTTGGGAGTCTTTGGACTTGTTGGCTTGGGCTTTCTGGGATTTTTGGCCCATTGTATCACAGCAGTGTGCTCTCTGGCATTGTGAGGGTACAATCCTGTGTCCTCCGGTGTGAGCGCCGAGAGGTACGATCCGGTTTGTGGAGCCTATAGAGTGCGGTAGGCCCTAACTCTACAGTGTACTTTTCTGCTTGTTTGTGGGAACAAGAAGGGCATCTGGACACCGCCTATAATGCTGTGCTTGTGAGGGGTGTAATCTGGCGTAACTGCAGGACTCTGCTTGCAGCGATTACGCCGGATTTATTATTAATTGGCAGGAGCTTGGAAGAGTAGCGTCCATTCAGTTCAAGCTTTAGGCTCCGCCTCTAACCCTTTAACTTTTTTAATCTTAATTTCCAGTTTATTTATTTTGTACTGAAATTTTCAATTCCCTTGTCAGCTGTCTACAATTCCATGTTTGGAGAGCAAACTCCCAAGTATAAAAGAAAATATAACTATTTTCTGCGCTCAGTCTTTTTAACCCCTTAAGGACCAAACTTCTGGAATGAAAGGGAATCATGACATGTCACACATGCCATGTGTCCTTAAGGGGTTAAACACAAGTGAGGAAACGCGAATGCTAAGTTATTCTGTTTTCTTAATACAACCCTATAGCTGCAAACTCAGGTTTGTCTTGTAAGTCTTTGAAAAGATCTGTGTTGTTTACTAGTATAGCCCATGGGCTAGTTTACAAGCATAACTCAAGAAAAATATCTAGTTTCCCAATGTAAGTAGAGTGCTTTGTACAATGTTGAAAAAAACATGAAGCAACTCACAAGTTGCAGCTGCTGTTTGCAGCTTTGGCACTGCTAGCAGTGTTAAAAAAACCACATGGGAACTGACTCTCGTGTCTGTATCATTACATAAATTATTTTAAAATGTGTAACCCAGCATATGGCGTCCCCACGTCCTACATTGCATGTGCTGGGTGGTAAAGGGGGGACAAAACTGGACATGGTCCTGACAGGTCATATCAGCCATATTTACTTATTTTCTGCTTTTTTAAATATGCATTTAAGTCTCAGAGTAACAGAAGGGTGTTTCTGTCTTGTTATAAAGTCAAGAACATCAGTTCTTTACTGTGTATGACGGTGATCCCAAATGATACAGACAATAAAAAAAGAGAATTCAAATTTGAACTATTAAATATCACCCTTTCTGTCTTTGCACATATCAGATGATTCTATTTGTGTGAGGACACTCTACTTAGTTGAAAGTCCTTTAATAAAGAGAAACATGGAGAGATATTAATAATTATGTTTATTTAAAAAAAAAAGTCACAAAACATTGTGTCACATATTAAACCAAAAGCATTATGTCACCTGCTGGAACAAGTGCCAGTTATAATTCTGTTTCTATAAGAACAGAAATATGCATTCAAAACTACAGTTTGAATTATTTCTTAAACAGATTATTTGCAGCTTAGCCATTAGATTACCAGAGGAACGAGTAACACATTGGTCCATATATGTTAAAATTGGAACAATTACCATAGAAACAAATTTGATCATTCTGCTTATTGCGCCAGCATTAGCTTGCAAAATATGGCCAATATATTTTCACACTCCTTGCATTCAAATGGTTACATTCAGCATTTTCTACTTATTCAAACATGTAAATTCTTTTTGTTCTGAATTGCATTTAGATAAGTCACTTATATAACAAACATGTTAATTTACTCCATCTTTTAAGATTTGTGTTGGAGTAGTCATAATAACGTTTTAACATCCATGGGATGCCTTTGTAAAAAGGCCATCAGTTTCATTAATGGTAATCTTTCTAGAGCCTAGAAAAATAAGTGTGTTTTGAAGTGAAACATCATATCAACACAACAACAAAAGCTTTTATGCCATTAAATGTGTCTGTGACACTTTTGAAAAAAAATAATAATAAATAGCCCAACCTGGAAAAGACTGACAGTGTTTTTCCTTGTAGCCAATGGTTTAGCCGTGGGAATATCAAAAATGCCTAGAATTCTATAAGAAGACCTTTAAACAAAGACAAGCCAAAAACAACTTTCAGAACCCAAAATAGAAACAACAGTTGCTACATTATCATTTGAGGAGAGGAAACTGCAGACCCCATCCATAATTTCTTTAAAATCAAGATGGAAGCTAATTGAAAATTGGTTTAAAGTCTACTAAGGAAAATTTTATGCTTTGCTTTATTTATATGATGTGCCAAATTCTATATGTAGTGTTTGTGAAAGAACTCAGCCCTTGCCGTGTTCCGCATGTAATGGGTTCAGTTAAACTGGTCAAGTAAGGAACATGTTATGAGTTGATGCGTTACGGATGTTCTTTACTACAGGTCGTGGCTTTGGGGATGAGGAACAGAGTTCTTACAAATATTCCAGATACATATTTTGCTAGTAATGAATAATATATCATAAATCCACGTTTGGGGAGAGCTTAGGCAGCACCCCAGCTGTTGTAAAACTAAAACATCCATGATATTTTTCCAGTCTTGTGGTTGGCAAAGCACTATAGATCTTGTAGTTCCACACCAGCTGAAGGACTTCCTATGGGCTTTGTATTGTTTAACAGAATTTTTAAGTCTCTAGTCTGTGTCTTAGCAATTTTTTTCCCTACAGTGGTTCAGGTTAAAAAATAGAAATATATTGATATATTAAGGACTCCAGATTGTTCACGGGGATGATATAATATATTTATACCACTGGTGGAAAATGTCCCCTTTAACCCTTGGCATTGACTGCGTTAGGTGGCCTTTTTGACGTGGTATTCAATGGAAGCTCAGTGAGGAGAGATATTCTTCAAAAATTCCTTTGATTTGAGAGAATCTCTGACTTCTCTTTACAGTCTTGCAGGTTTCAGGTGTTCCCATTTTGTTTTCAAATAATTCAATTTGTACAGAGGTGTGCAAAGTCACTGCATCGCTGCATGGAGTTGCTGTACTGGGGTGCATATTATGCCAATACAGCATATCTGGAAAGTGCGTTTAACCACCATCAACGCTAAAGACCTTCTTGCAGTACTAGATCCTCAAACATAAGGTAGCACTTGAGTGATTGTGGCAAGTTAAAGGTCCTAATGGTTCTTAGCCTTTGGGGTCCCAAAGTGGAGCGTATCTTTAAACGACTCAGGTGTTTTAATGAGCGAGGCTGATGGGAAAATGATTCAATCCACGCAATGAATGCCACCTGCGAAGCAAGGCGCTTGGGTGGTAGTCCTGTTTTCTGTAATGTAAAGCACAATTTGTAATATTGAGCTACAGGTTAAAAAATCATCAAGTGCATAGATCCAAATATAAAGAGGAATTCTGGTACAAAGTTCCAGAAGTGAAGATATCAGCAGGAAAGTTATATTGGTTCCCAAACAGAATTCTTCACATTGAACTTTACACCAGAATTGCTCAAAAAGATATGACCCAAATAATAAATATTCGTAATAATAATTAATAATAATACATATTAATGAAAATAAGATATGTAAGGATGTGGAGTCCTGATTAAGACAACATGAAGTTTATCTTTGTTTCAAGGTGTATGTAATTATTGTTTCAATTTATATCATGCTCTTTCAGATAGCTTTTCAGTTGGAGCCCGCCATGATACCACAATATCACAGTAATCTCTCTATCTTCCATTTTTATTTAAGGTAGAGAGGCTGGCCAAGCATCCATCTGTTGCACGAGGTTGTGTTATTGAATAAAATTGTGGCCACTAAAAGTAACCTTTGGGGCTTGAGTTTGGATTTAGTCTAAGATTTGTGTGTTTATGTTCCTACCACTACTTAATTGGACCATTTGTCTAGCTGTGCCTCTAGTATGTCCTCTAGATGGTTTGCAAACTTTCATGCATATACTGTAAAGAATATAAGGGATTGTACAGATTTCTCACATGGTGTGATTTGTTGTGATTAAATGTGAAATGATTCAGGAATATATTTTTACTGTCTTGTAACTGGTCTATATGAGACTGATATAGTAGAAATTGATCATAACATATGATGCCAAGTAGAGGAACATCCACTTCTTACCTTGTTTTTATAAGTAATTTCAGCTCCAGCCTGAACCAAGAGTCGAATACACTCCATTTGTCCACTACAAGCCGCCAAGTACATTGGAGTTACTCCCCAGTTATCCTGGAGGTTAACATCAGCACCATGCTTGGAACAAAAACACACAGGGTGATCCTTTATTTCACTCTCCAATTTGTTCCAGCTAAGATACAGGTGGCTGGCAAGAGTAACATCACAAGCTATACTGTGCTACAACAATATAAACAAACAAGCAAGCAAGCAAGCAAGCAAACCACTTAAAGGTGTAGATACATTGAACGATCAAAACTTGGTTAATAGCTCCAATGTTGCTCTAATAATGCTCATTTTTAAAATAATGGTCTTTTGCTACTAATGGGTTGATTCACTAGATCCCAAGTTGGAGGATGGAGATTTTTTTGAGGAAAAAATATGAATAATCAACTTGGGAATGTATAAAAAAAATCTGCAAGCCTTACTTGGAGAGACTTGGGTTTTGAACCTTATTTGGCTGCCCACCAGCAATTAAACCTCAGGAAAATCACCAAGCCTCTGATGAACTCTGATTCAGCAACTTTTCCCTGGTTACTTTACAATGCAGACAACCCATCTAAAGGTTATGTGGGAAAAGCTTGCACTTTAGTTACATGAAAAATCAAACATGGCAAGTGGGTTAGTGAAGGGTTTACTGGTAATCTGTATGGTAACACTGAGTTTAAATTTATATAAGTGAACAAAGAAAATAAAAAACATGTATGTATGTCCAATGTTTGATTGCATAAGCACAAAACACTAATTAAACAATAACATTCAAGAAAAAGAGTTCAATATAATGTCAACACAGTTTTCTGCTGAACTGAGTCTGTAAGAAAAGGATCATATTTTGAAATGGGTTTCCTTTTAGACTATACTTTAACCACATTTTGGACAACTGATGACAAAATATGAAGACTATATACAGTACATAGAAACAAATGCAGTCCTCCGCCTATTGGTTCAATTAGTGAGAATAAATTGACAAGTCAATAAAATGAATAGGATATGGATTTAACTTACCTGTATCAGTAACAGGGCACACTCTGGAAATAACCCTATGGCAGCATGTAACGGGGTTCCGCCATGCTTACAACAGCTGTTCACGTTTGCCCCATGTTGAAGCAACAACTCCATTGAAACCCTTTGACCTTTATAGGCTGCCCAATATAAAGGGGTTTTTCCATAATAATCCTTCCGGTCAACCAGCTCTTTGTCTAGAACACAATTAGACCAGCAATATTTAAAGTACGTGTCCAAAGAACTGTAACCTAAAAAAAATATAGTAATAAATTGATCAAAACAAAAACTCCTTTCTGTATCAGAGCCATTTCTACAGAGAATTTATGGCTTACAGTTGTAACCAGTCATCGGAACACTAGGGGCATAAAAACTATGTTTCCCTTTCCACTGTTAACTCCTCTCCCCCAAACTCCCAGGATCCTTTGATTTATTGCTTTGTAGAATGATGTCAAGAAGCATTGATATCACACTGACAAATAAACTCCAAACACCTGCAAAAACAATTAGAGTGCACATGGTGCTGCTGGGGCCTTGTAAAAAAAAATATTTTGTGATCATTGTGACGATAATTGCTCTGCTGGTATCTAGGTTGTGTTAATGATATTAAAACCTGCTCAGGCGGTACTTTTAGCTAGTACTCAGTGCTATCCCATGCAGCTCTGTGAGAAGCCTTATCTGCATTCAGCATCATCAATGCGTGCATGATGATGCCAAATGTGAAGATCTTAGAAAATCGAAGGTCTTAATGGTAAACTACCTCCAGTGGGCTGCTGTCTGAACTCACTAGATGGATATTTATAGGCTAAGCTAAAGGTATAATATTCAGAAAAGTTAAACTAAGAAATGTCTGTCTTGCTTCTCCAAGCACTGTCACTGCACAGGCAACACAGGAGCAGTTAGAGACAGGAGGCAAAGCAGCCCCAAACCGTTAATGACCAGGGCTCCTTTCAAGGACATACGCAGGGAAAAGATAGGGGGGGCATAGGGGAGGGTAACAGTTAACTGTGTTAATTAGCGCTGACCTTCTGTTTTTTATTTTGCATAACAGTTAGTATATGTGTTGCTAGGACCCCACTCTAAACTGAGGGTAGCTCTTTTCTTAATGTAAATCATGTAGCCTATTGTTTATGGAATTCCCAAATTAGATGTCTTGTGGCCTACGTTTCCCTTACAGACACCTCTTAACCTAAGTAAACACTAACCAAATACTGTAACTATAAATATTAGAGTGTAAGAATATGTGTTATTATTTAAAGAAACAATAAAATCTCTTGACAATGTGTTTTGGAATGTGCATAGATCCAAATGCAGAGGTCACCCTGCATATTAATGAATTATAAAATAAATTATAAAATTAAAATGTCGCCCTACCCTGACCAGGAAGAGGCTTACCAACCTAGAGTCTCCCATTATGGTTTATGCTTTTTTCTTCCTCAGCTCATAATCTTCTAAGTTTATGAAATATGGAGCACTGGGGCCCTACTTATACAACCAAAAACAGTAATAATAATGTATATTATTGATTAAATTACGCTTATATTTATTGATACTTTCAACAAAATCAGTGTTTAAACATCATAAAAAATTTTGTACAGTGTGTCCATGTGTTGAGATAACCTTGACCGCCGTTCATCTCATCACATGTGATAAGCTGATAGCAGTTGTGGTATGTGTATTTAAAAATAAAAATTGTGAACCAAGTTGTGTGATGCTGTGATCAACCAGTCCAGGTAGGTAGGGAAGAAATGGCTCTGAACTGACACAAGACACAAAATTGGGCATAGGATGGACAGCAAATAAGGAAGTAAACTTCTCCTTTGACATCACTGATCTCGCAAGCTGTTGATATGTTTACATATATTACAAACCAATCTGGCCAGGAAGAAAGGGAGCAGCAGTAAAAATATTATTAAAAAAAAGGTAACCATTAAAATTGACATAATAAAAACATTATAGAAGGTAAAGCTGAATTGATTATAATATTAAGAGATGTACGTTAGTTTACAAGGACTAGAGGTATTTAATTTACAAACCTGGACCCAAGAAAAAATATAATTCAAATAAATCTATTTATGTTTTATATAACTCACTTCTTGCATAAGTGTCAATAGCATAAAAGTAAATTTAATTGTAATTCTGATCATCCACACATATTAGGTAGATTAAGTTACAGTTAGTTATGTTGTCCATAATACTCTTAAAAAAAACAAAACAGTTACTTTGCTTAATAAACCCAGCCTTTCTGCTCAAAGTTATGATTTATTTTTTCCCCTCAAAAAATACAGCTGTACATTATGTCATCAATTAGGTTTCAGGAGTAGTTCTGCTGGTTTCACAAAATAGCGAGATGCCAGTGGCTTAGGCAAAAATGGGGTGGCATGTGATGCGATTCGTGTCACTGGCTCCATCTATAGGGGTAGGTCCTCCCTCGAAAAAGTAACGGGCCCACCCACAGAATTGACAGACCAGATTTGTAAGTCAAATATATTGTATGCTGATCTTACCTTTGCATTTTGTTTGTTTCATTGCTAAGTAAATAAAAACGCCATTTGAAAATAAATATACAATAATGTTCTCTTGTCGATGTCTAATTAAAGGGACACTCTAATGCTGAAGTGCTTTGTGAGAGAAGAGTGTTTTCTCATCTTTAAATTTTAACAAATTGTGCAGATTTGAATAGAAATTGGCACTTTTATAAATTAATCTTGTTATACCTCCCCCCCACCGGCTGTCAATCAGACAACCGGTCCTGTTACTTCCTTGTTGTTTGGTACAGTGGAACTAAATTCAAGAGGCAGCAATTGCTCAGAGCACATGCATTGCAAAGACTCTGAAGTTTGTGATTGAAATTCTAGACAGGGTTAGAAGGGTTGGGCTTGCATGGGCTGGAGAGAATAGATCTGCAGCTTTGCAAGCTGTTTTAGACATAACTCAAAGAAAATATGTACTTAATAGTGTATTTATTAATTTTTTTACTTGGGCAGTGGGGTGTCCCTTTAAACATTTTTCTTATAAATGTCCCTCCTTAATGGGTTCCATATATGAAACAGTGAGATGTGTTTAATTGAAACAGGCATGCAAATTTGCAAAGTTGGGAAAATAAATTATAAGATTTCTTTAAAAAAAATTAAATTGTGAGAGTTCTCAGCTCACCACATCTCCCTGGTTATTAAATAGGGATCTAACAGAGTTGTTCACTAATGTCTATATGGCCCTGTAACAAATGGGGCAAAACCATGGAATTAAACAATGGCTGGATTTTGTAACACAGACCCTGAATTTGGCCTGGATTTCAACTGGCCAAAATCCTCCAGGTGCCTGAAATCTTGACCAAATGCTGGAAATCCAGGCCTGAATGCTTCAAATTTAACTTACTCTCTAAATACTCTCAAACTAATGCTACAAAATCAGTTAGACCGGAATTTGGTTAATTTCACTAGATTTTGTCCATTCCAACAAATACCGGATAACCCTTTAGTGAGTAACTCTGTATATGTTTTCACTTTAAGGTTTCCTAAAAATCCTGAAACTCCCACTACTCTTGGGTGGCAACAATGTCTATAATATTATGGCTATAATAGTAATCAGTCCTAATATATATATATAAAAACACACACAAAAAACCTCACAAAAAAAGTTACTTACAAACTATCCCAAATCTTTACATAAATGAACATATCATTGGTTTTCAGCACTGCAATGGCCATTAAAGTGTAAGCTCACCTGCTAATTTCAAGGCAAACCTTTTATGTGAGTGCTATGCTAACAATTCGCCTTGCTGCTGTCAGGTAACAGGCAATAACTCTAATGAAACATAGGGGGTCACCTAAGAGGTTCATCTTTCACCTTGGCAAGGGTATATTTATATAGCGCAAACATATTCCACAACGCTTTACAATTATACATCGGAGATAAAAAACAACTAGTATTGACAGAGACATGAGATAAAGAGGGCCCAGCTCAAATAACCTCACAATCTAATAGGAGAATCAATTTACAGCAAATATATATATATTTATATTCCATTGGTTAAACTGGAAGAGATTTTAGTAAATTCTCATGGTATTCCTAATCTGATTTTGCTAAAGAAAAACAACAACAATTCATTTACAGCTTGTGAGTCATTAATAAAAATAACATTGGCTTCATCATGATGTGCTTATTTTTTAGATAAAGCATCAAAAAGGGTGTTAACAAACCTGATGTGGTCAGTAAGAGGCGTAATTTTTCTACATTTCCTCTGCTGGCCTCGTAGTGAATATCCGTCCATTTGTAGTTGTAGCTGGGGGCCACTTGATAATGTCTCACCTGAGTCTTGGTGCAAGGAGCTCGAGATAAGGAGCTGATGTAGAAACCCATCTGTTTCATGGGGAACGATCTTCAAGCACCATCTGGTTTGGAGAGGAGAGTGGTGTAAAACAGACAGCACACAAGAGGCACGCTTACTTAAAATACACGTATCTTGTTTGGTACATCGACTCCCAAGTGTACAAAGCCTATAATTTTGATGAGGCCACCAGTTCATGATAACGATTCCTCTGCGCCTCTTATCAACGTTCGTAGGAGTGATGGTTTGGAAGATGTGTTTTATAGGTTCTACATTTAAATATGCCTTTGGCGTTATTTGTAGTCAACTGTCTAATACACTCAACATTTTCTGTTATTAATTCTCATGGATGATGTCATTAGCTATTTATGGAGAAAAACTTGATAATGTAGATTAATGAAATAAGTCATCCAAGCAATCTCCAATACATTAGGTGACCTGAGATATTTATATCTGATTCATGGGTGCTCCCTCCAGGCCAAACGAAAATTGTGATGCAAATTAGTAAATATTTTCTGCTACATTTGCGTTTCTGTATAAAAAAGCAACTGTGGGAGAAAGTTCTAAAAGTGAAGCAGTCACCATGGAAACCAATGGAATGTTTCTGCCAGTTTCACCATTATTAGAACTGTGCCTTGTAAGCCCAGAGGTCATTATGCTGATTGGCCTTATCTGACCTTCAGCAGAAAAGAAAAAATCACATATTATTTCTCACAAATTACTGATTATTAGTGGCATTATTGGTATTAGTAGTGTATTGTTACAATGTATGTAAAATAAATTCATTTAATAGGATATTGGGTATTCTAAACTATAAATATACTCTACATAAAACCTATAAACAAATCCACCAACACCTGCAAACAAACCCTACTTAATAGCTTAATAGGCCAAAGTACTGAAATACATAATACGAACAGAGCTAAATAAATTATAATCACTATTGCAATACATGTCTTAATGGGGCTGCAGCAACCCCTCACTGAATTTACGTCTCAAGTAAATGACAAGGAAATCAAAGAATATATAAATACGCCCCCCCCCCTCCCCCCCTCTCTCTGTCCATATCTCATATATTTACCACAATTTATTACTGCCTTGATAGGATGGAGCTGCGTATAAACAAACCCAGTACATTATCATTAAAGATACAGAGCTGAGTGTCTCACCCTTGTAGATGTGATCCTTTCTCATGGCTGGGGGTGGGGGGCACCCAGCAGTCTTGTGTACAGGGCTCTGTGTGAGCTATGTAGGGGGCGCTATCATGAGAGCAGCTGAGACAGATTCCCTTATTGTTCTGCAGATGATAGCATGCTCCAAGGTCCACTTGATGTCTATAGAAAGGATGAGACAGGACTGTGGTGGGTGCTCAGGGATTACTGGACACAGATTATTGTGTGTGTATGTGTATGTGTGTGTGTGTGTGGGGGGTGAGTGTCTGTGTGTGTGTGTGTGTGTGTGAGTGTGTCTGTGTAAGGGTGGAAGGGAAGGAGGCTGCTAAAGGGGTCCTGATCTCTAATCAGCTCTCTGCTCAGACCTTGCTGTGTGCAGTAGTTATACGCAGGGTCCTCTCTCCTTGCTGTGATCTGTGGCTGGCAATGCCCAGGCCGGTGTATTGCTACTCCCAGCTATCTCCTGCCTTCCTCTCCCTCTGCCGTGGGCGCTCTCCAGGGTGCTGGAATCAGCCGACACTGCGCATGCGCGGCCCTGCCTGCTCGTGTGTGCCAGGGAGAGACTGGAGCCAGCTCTCTCTCACCATGGGTATTCTCCCTGATACAAAGAGAGGGCAGGCTTGCTTTCACTGAAAGGCTGGCACAATGCCCTCATAAAACGGGCAATGCAAGGATGAATTAATCACAGCTTCACTTAAAATATTATATATATAAAATAAATAAATAAAAATTGGGGTGGGGGTGAGAAAAATGAGAAGCTTTGTATCCATCTGTCTGTCTGTCTGTCTGTGTGTGTGCACCTCCCTCCAGTCTGTATCTAACCAGTCAATCTAGAAATAGTGGGTGGGGTGTGTGATACTAACACAGAAACAGAAATATTGCTTTTTCTTAGTTACAGTAGGATTTCCAAATGGAAAAAAACACAATTAAATTAAAATTGCCTGGTAGATCCTGTTTAGTTACGTTTGATTAACTTGTTGCATTTTGGGGAATTGTTCCTAAAGATACCATCTTGATATAATGCCCCCCCACCCCCCCATTAAAATAACTGCAAATAACTTTTTCAAACACAAGGTATCTGTACATTGCATGGCATAGTTTCTTTCATGATGTATTTGGTACACATGCTCTCCACTCCAGTATGAGAGTTACTGGTGCCTTTGGTCATCATACTGTTCAGCCAGTAGGAGAGGGAATATCAGTGTTTTATTAATTCAATATGTTGCAATTATTTCACTTAAAGGGACAGCTTGACATATTTCAAAACAAAAATTTCCATAGGTCACTGTGAACTGTGTAACACAGCAAGTTTAATGCAAAAAGCTTTGGGAACTTCACAAGTTGCTCATCTTGCTGAAAGTCAGTTTAGCAACATTTCCCACACCTGAGACGTTGAGGTGGGTCTACAGGTTTTAGCCTCATTTTTGCCATTTCATATATATTCACTAGAATGTAATGACCATGAACATAAACTAACTAGTTGACTCATTGTTTTACCAGATTTTCCCTGACATTTAGAAGGTTGAAAGTTTGGCTTTGTATAAACACCTCTCTGTAGTAACTCTTCACCTTGTCACCTTTAAGTCTTTCAAGTTGCGAGGTAGATCCATGTATTTGTTATCAGCACATCCCACAGGTGCTGAATTGGATTGAGATCTGGGAAATTTGGAGGCCAAGAAAACACCTTGAACTCTTTGTCATGTTCCTAAAACTATTCCTTAGCAATTTTTGCAGTGTGGCAGGGTGCATTATCCTGCGGAAAGATGCCACTGCCATCGAGGAATGCTATTGTCTTGAAGGGGTGTACGTGGTCTGCAAGAATCTCTAGGTAGGTGGTATGTATCCACGTGAATGCCAAGACTCAAGGTTTCTCAGAAAAAACATTGCCCAGAGCACAAAATTGCCTATTTCCCATCTTTCCCCCAGCTAAATGACACATGCCCCCAGCCATCCATCTGATCTAAAAGAAAATGTGATTCATCAGATCAGGCAACCTTCTTCTATTGCTCCATGTTCCAGTTATGATGCTCACGTCCCCATAGAAGGCACTTTTGGTGGTGTACAGGGGTCATCATAGGCACTCTTGACGGTCTGTGGCTACGCAACCCCATAAGTAGCAAACTCTGATGCACCGTGTATTCTGACACCTTTCTATCATGGCCAGCATTAACTTTTCAGCAATTTTGGCTACAGTACCTTTCTGTGTGAGCAGACTAGAAAGTCTAGCATTCACTCCCCATGCACATCAACGATCCTTGGGCACCCATGACCCTGATGCCGGTTTAACAGTTATCCTTCCTTGCACCACTTTTTGGTAGGTACTAAACACAGCACATCAGGAACACCCCACAAAGCTTGCTGTTTTGGAGATCCTCTGACCCAGTCGTCTAGCCATAACTATCTGGCATTTTTTTTTGTTCCCAACACATGAAATTCAAGAACTGACTGTTCACTTGCTGCCTAATATATCACAATCTTTGACAGGTGCCATTGTAACAATATAATCACTGTTATTCACTTCAGCTGTCAGTGGTTTTCATATTGTGGCTGATCAGTGAATAAGTATGTATTTGATGAGACATGAGTCATCTTGTAAAATTTCTCTAAGCAGAAGCTATACTTAGCTAAACTAAAATTAAAATATGCCTAATAAGGGTTTTTGCAGGCCTCAACTGTGTGTCTAGGAGTATGTCCAATAGGTAGTTTTCCAGTGAGATCGACCACAGTAAGTTTTATTAAGATTTGAATTTGGACTCAAAATGGCTGAACAACTGAACAAGTCCAGAAAATATGTCACAGGTGATCTAAAAAGTTGTCCTGTGTGGGCAAGGTATGAGCACTCCTCCTCAGGCACTTCTTGACACGCCTCTCTCTCACTCATGAGTCCTACTAGACCACCTTGCAACCCATTACATTCAGGTCCCCCTTTTGTTTCCAATGCTTTTCCATAATTTAGGAATTGCATTTATATGTATGTTGAGCATGTTATGAGTCTACTTATGACATGACTTATAGTTTTTGTAAACTTGCTGTTGTTTGTATATCTTCTGTTGGAAAATTCAGTATAAATGTATACAGTAAAAAAACCATAGCAAAACAATATAACATTCATATAAAATACAACAGACTATAATTACAATACTACATTAAAGTGGTACTGTCACCGTCTGAGGACTTTGCAGATGGTGACATTGCTGCTAGTGGTCCAGTGGCTGGGGCTGTAAGGTAAAGGCGAGATTTACTTACCTGAACCTGGTCCTCGCAGGCACCATCATCTTCTTTCAGCACCAGGAGTCGACGTCACAATTGTACTCTTGCACATGCACGAGAGTACTGCATTGAGGTCTATAGAGGATCCCGTGATTTCCATTGAGAGAGTCAATTCCTTGCAACCATCCCTTGTGATGACTGGGGGGATTGACATTTCTTGATGGCGGTAGCTCCGCCCAATATCAAGAAGTGTCAGGCATAGCAAATATACAGAGACAAAGTAGTCAGTACCCATAAGGCAAAAATAATGGGGGCTTTGTTACAGTATATGATCATACAATGCATAAGCCTGCTAAAACGTCAATGTGCCCCATCTTTGGCAGTTCCAACTCTATCAACCTAATGTCTGCTCTTATGAGATTAACCCACTTATGCATTGGCAGGCTTATGCATTGTATCATCATATACTGTAACTAAACCCCTACAATGTTTAACCCCCCCCACAAAAAAACCTAATAAAATCTGTGAGCTTTGAAGTTGCTGTTTAGTGGATGAGTGAGTGCGCTGGATCTTGTGTATTGTATAAATTTGCCCCCAACAGTACACCATTTATGCATGTTCAGGTGAGTGTAGTCCCCTGGTTACACTCACCTGAACATATATAATGTGTTTTTTTTGTATTTAAAAATATATAAAAAATATAACATTATTTAAAAAAGCTTATCCAAAAATATAAAATCAAGGACACAGTAGGAAATGTTGTGGATATAGCCTACTGTACATGTGAAATGTTTGCCATAATACACACTAATATAAATTTTTTTAAAGCAAGCAAAAAGATTGGTGATGATTACTAGCTCACTCCTCTTAATCCAACCTGCATTTTGAGGGTAAAAGAGAAATCAATACCTGGATTTGGCCTTGAAAATTGCCCCTACCTCTTCCTCCATCTTTAAGAGAATTAACAAATGGGTAGGAGCCCAGTGAATGGAGACTCCTTGCTCTAACCTGTGTAGTGTGGGGTGGAGTAATGCAATGGTAAGCTATGTCCTTTAGTCCACTATTTCATTAAAATGTAGCACGACGTGCCCAGTTTCATCTAAGCCCTCTGGACCAAACATACCGATTTAACCCCCCGTCCAGTTCAACAGTGGAAGCTGCAACTCCCATGAGTGGCTATGACTCCCCAAACCACAAGCCACTAAGCTCTTAATATCTGCCAGCCCCCCTTCTTTTTATAAACAATACTGGTCTAGCTTCCCCCCTAAAAAGCTTTAAGAAGTTGGTGTCTTCTATATTAGTAACATATAGTAATGAAAACAAAATTATTTTAAATTAAAGGTAAGTAGGGGGATAGGGTTTATATAGGGTAATAACTCCTTCCACAAATTCAGGCCAAATGGCCTTCCAACTTGTGCTCGAAATCTCTAATATGTAAATGGAATGTAGAGGAGAAGCAAAGTTGGTTGAGGTGTGCCGAAACCAATGTACGAGTAGGCCTGTTAAAAGAGGGCAAAAAGGAATTCGAAGTAAACACACTTTATTGCAAGTTTAAACAGCTAGATTTCTGAAAGCTTGCCTAAGCTCCCTTTCTGGTTGAGGGATGTAGGAGTTGTATACTGAGGATTTCCAGCGTCCCAGTCTCTTAATGATGTGTACCGGAGTGTTAGTAGTTGAAGCCGATGATGATGCGTCGATGTGAAACGAGTGACCAGAGAAGGAAGCTGGGTTGTAGCCCAACCTTGACAGTAGAGTTCTGATGTGTGAAATACATTTAGCTGTGGTGAGTGGGTGTCTTTGGAGTAGAAGTTGTGGAGTGTCTGGTGAGTGTGTGTGGTGAGATAACAGGAGCAAATCCAGAATATGTACTGGGCTCCACAGATTATCGGTATGGAAGAGGGAAATGGTAGTGGGATAGGCAGAGTGATTGGTTTTAGTTGAAGGTAAGGAGAGTATGTAATGGACATCTAAAGTGAGTTTAAGACAATGGACTGTGTCTCCTTGACGTATCACGGTGAACTCTCTAGGTCTGAGGAAACCATAGAAAGCCAAAAAGATGGCGCATTTAATGACCAAATTAGTACTATGGTCAAATGGGGATATGTCCAATAGATCGCTAAGGAGCCTGAATATTGGACCGTCTGTTGGTAACCTAGAAGTGCATGGAGGAACTGTGACCTTAAAAATACCTTTAAGGATTTTCTTGATGGGGTAGGAAGATAGAAAAGGAGCGTGGTTGGGGAAGGTAGTGAGGATGTGGTGTTGTACTCTAGTAAGGTAGAGTTTGATAGTGTT